ATAGTTTAGGGGTTTAGGGTTTAGGGTTTAGGGGTTTAGGGTTTAGGGTTTAGGGTCTACCTTAAAGGATCATGGGACTTAGTAAGTAGGGTTATAACTAAGGTAACTATACTTATAACCCCAATTAGGGAACTTATAACCATACTTACTAAGTCCCATGATCCTCCAACCAGTCTCTCATCTGTGCAAGGCATCAACTGAGGGTTTTAGCGCTGAAGTTTCTGTGCTTCCCTGATCCCTAAACCCTAAACCCTAAAGCAAACAAACTCCCAAAGCCTAAACCCTAAACCCTACAAAACAAGTAAGCTACTAACCCCTATAAGGCTTTTCGGGGAAATGACTCCCGCAGTTGCAGGTCGCGCTGGTTGTCATCCAAGGCGGGCGGATCATATGAGCCTGTGGCATAAGGCAAGACGAGGCACTTCTAGGGGCTTACGGGGTTTTGGGCGGAATGGGTAGTATACACATGGGTAGTTCTCTAAATTAGGGTCTCTTTTAGGGTCCTGTGAAGGGGGGGCCGTACTATGTTGGGGGCCTCAGATTGGACCCTAAGTTTGAAAACCACCCACATATCGAGGAGCCCTAAGGAATAACACGGGTAGTTATTCAGGTCCCTATACTACTTCTAGTATCTATTCGCCATCTGCATGTTGACATGGGAAAGAAGCAGCCCGTTGGCTTCAAGTCTTACCCTAAACCCTAAACCCTAAACCCTAAACACTAAACCCAAGCCCTAAACCCTCAACCTAAGAGGGTGGGACCAGCAAGCTGCGATGTTAGGATTCAGGGTGACGATGCACAGGACCTCGGGTTCGGTGTCGGTTGAGGCCGAGGTGTGGAGGTATGTATAGAGGTGTAGAGGGCTTCAGGGTTTAGGGTTTAGGGTTTAGGGTAAAGAGGTATGGAGGTATAGACGGTATAGAGGTACAGAGGTAGAGGGAAGAGGTAGAGATATCAGTTTGGTTTGAGGGTTCCTTCGGACGCATGGCATGGCGCGCATATTCAAGCTACCCTAAAAACCAAACCCCAAGCCCCTGAACCTGAATTTGTTACCCTCAGCGCGAATCCCAAGTGCCGAACCCCAACCCAAAACCATAAACTCTGTCAGATTTCTGCAACATATGAAAGATGTTACAGTACCCGAGAAACTCTATGATAAAATCCGTGCAGAGACCTAAACAAAAGCCGGCTGGCCGGTAGGCGAAGTCGCATGGTCTGGCGGCCCTGTGCCCGACCGCTGCTTCAGCGCGAGCTGGCTCGGGAGCACTTGCGAGGCTGCCGTTCTCTGGGGTTTCGGGCCCTCTCTACCGCTCTCTCCTTGCCTTTCCGTCTCCTTTCCTGGATTTATCCTCCCCCTTCCCTCCGCAAGAAGTCGCAGCTACACACTAAACCCAAAACCCAAATCCGTCACATCCCAAACCCTAAACCCTAAACCCCAGCTCTGTTCGATAGCCCCAAGCTCTGTTCTATACCCCCAACCTTGACCTTGAAATCGCAGCCATGAGCTTTAAGCCCCGAACCCTGACTTCTTGCTTAGGAGTTTGGATTAAGTTACCAGAACAGGGGATCTATAGTAGCGCACATGGGTAGTTTTCTAAATTAGGGTACCTTTTAGGGTCCTTTTAATAAGAGTGCCGTACTATGTCGGGGACCTAAAAGGGGACCCTAATTTAGAGAACTACCCACATTCTGGTTTCCTTACTATGTTAACTTAGATTAAACTCCTTCACATGAGCCCGGAACGCCTCAACCTTCAAGCCCTAAACCCAGAATCCTAAACCCCTAAACCCAAAACACCGCAAACCCCAGGCCCTCAGCGCTGAACCCTCAATCCCCCAAAGCGCGCAGTCTCCTGCCACGGAGGCCACGCTGCTCATCGCGCGGTGCCTCGGTGCTGCAGACTTCGCCAGCAAGGAGGCGAACTCCTTGTGGCAACCTGGAGCAATTTGGGGTTCGGGGCTCCCCTACACCCTAAACCCTGAACCCAGGGTTTAGGTAGGGTTTTCAATACATGATTTGGGCTTCAGGGTTTTGGTTTCCAGGTCTGGGTTTGGGGTTTAGGGTTTAGGGTTTCGGGGGTCGTTTCTTCAACCTTGTTGCAGTGGTTGGCTGTGGTGTAGTGCACACTGAGCGTCCTCCATGTCCCTAAACCCTAAACCCTAAACCTTCGGCCGAGCGGGAGAGTTCGATGTGGCATGAATGAGCCGAGGCAACTGCAGGAGGAGGACACGCACGAACTGAAAGGCTCTTCTGCTTTAATATAGGAGCCGGAATATTGGAGCCTGAATGATGACCAATACGATTTCGGGGGTTCCTGGTTATGGGGTTCCTGATTATGGTTATAGTACAATATACCCCAAAACCCTATACTAGTTGCATCTCCTGCAAATATGGTCATTAGGCTTGAGCTGTAAGGCTCTTTTAGAACCCCATGTTATTCACACCTTCAAACAAACAGAATGAGCCCTACACGTCAACCTACAGGTGTATCTGGAAGAGCTCTGTTTGGTTGGGGGTGGTGTTTGGGGCAAGGGTCTTTCGAGTCTTCATTCGGGTGTATAGGGTTCTATGAGGTTTCTGCAAGCCTTGTATAGGGTTCTGTTGGGGTTTAGGGTTTAGTGTGGTGACCCCGACCGCCACTTGCCTCCCAATGAGACACCCAGTATAGCAAGACTCCACATCAAGGGAAGTGTCGCGATGGGGGGCCGAACAGGATGCGGTCCCGGCCTAATGACGTAGAGGTCCTAAACCCCAAACCCCAAACCCTGAAACTAAACCTTGATTTTGGAAAGTTGGGAGAGGCATGCAAAAGATGCGCCCTGGAATCTCAACTCCTCCTCAACCCCGAAAGCCCCTAAACCCCCCCAGACCTCAACCCCAGAACAAGAAATCCCAAACCCCAAGATCTTCAATCCTCTGCCCGGGAGAAACCTTAGGGTTTAGGGCGTATAGGGTTTAGGGTGCAGGGTTTAGGACTTTAGGCTTTAAAGGTTTAGGGTTTAGGGGTCTGGGATAATCTAGAATTCGAGGCTCAAGTTATTTCTACTTGTAACACTATTCCTCACGCCTTGTCTCATGCTTGTACTCTAGTATCCACAAAGCCATACAAAACCCCATTCCAACTGTTCGTTAGAATGACAATGAAGCCTGAACCCCAAGCCCTAAACCCTGAAACCTTGCCTTAACCCACCAGAACCTACCTTTTTTGTCGGGTCCCTATGAGTCCCATATTAGGGTTTCTTATAAGAACCTACAAAAACGTGGGTTTTGGGTAGGTTAAGGTAACCCTAAACCCTAAATCCTAAACCCTAAACCCTAAACCCTAAACGCTAGTATATAGTAGGTGTATAAGCGCTAAACCAATAAACCCTCACGGCCAGGCCAGCTGCACGTAGCCTGCCAATCCGCCTATGATGGCTCGGAGAGACTAGCGGAGTGCACTGGCGCCTGGGCAGAAGATTAGGGTTTAGGGTTTAGGGTTTAGGGTTTAGGGAAGAAAAGAAAGGATGTTTCTGTTTTGGTGGGGGCTAAGGATTAGGGTTTGAGGTTTGGAGTTCCCGGATGGGGTAAAATCGGTTTCTGCGATTTTACATAAAGCAGATGCACGCCACAGGTTGCCAGCGAGTGTGTGCATGTTGCACACAGGGAGTCTGGACCAGCCTGGTGTGTGTGTGTGTATGTGTTTCTGTGTGCGCGTGTGTGCGCGTGGATGTTCCACACAGGCAGAGTCTGAACCAGGCGAAATCCTAAACCCTGAGGTGGCAAGATGGGGATCGGAAGAAGATGTAATGGTATCCCCTCATAGTCCCGGTATGCCCCTTGATTTCTGAGGGTCCCGCTCTTAAACCTGAATACGAGAGAAAGGGTACCCTTATGCTCAAGAGGACAGTAGGGAACCTGGTTCGTCCTTTATATCTGTGCAAAAACATATGTACATAGACGGTATGTATGTATAAGTAGGTATAGATGTAGCGATAGATACAGCATTAAAGTTGCCTGCAGTAGCCTTACCTATAACCCCATTCAAGGAAAAGGAAGACTGCGCAGTGCTTGTCTAAACCCTGAACCCTAAACCTTAAACCCGAAACCCTAAAACCCTAAAACCCCAAAACCCTAAACCCTAAAACCCTAAACCCTGGCAGTTGCAGGAGAGATTGTGCGCTCAGCCTTGGAAAAGGCATCGAAGAAGCTGGTGATGAAAGCGTGCCTCAGTAGCTGAGTGGATACACTTTTTCACTTTTGGGGTTTAGGGTTGAGGGTTTAGGGCTTAAGGGCTTTAGGGTTTTAGGGTACAGGGTTTAGGGTTTTAGGGGTTTAGGGTAATTACCCACCATAAAAACTGAGAGTGTAGACTTTTCGGGGGCTTCTGAACTCAGCAACGAAGGTACTGGAAACTGTCAGAGCATTTGAGTGGGCTGTCAGTGGACGGGTTCAAATCCCTCGTTCAAAGGACGGCCTCTCGGCTGCGGCTCGTGTCCTTGCGGTGTAGGGTTAAGGGTTTCGGTGCCTAAATAAATACTATTTTGGGGGTTCCCTTATACTATAAAGGAGCCCAAAACCTTATTGTAATTATTAAGGCTCCTACATTTGGGTTAAGGGGTTAAGGGGTTCCGGATTTGTTGGTGGCATCTGTGGCAGATTTTGACTTCACGTTGTGTCAGATGCTTTGCAGTTTCCGAACCGAGGCGAAGCGAATAGAGCCTCAGCTGCGTCGTGGGAGGTTCGCCAGGGTTCTCACCCAGCTAAGAGAGAAAACCCTAAACCCTAAACCTAAACCCTAAGAGAGAGAGAGAGAGAGAGAGAGAGAGAGACCTGGGGGGCGCCAGGGGACTTAACTCGTCCCCTACGCCCAATGAGAGAGAAAGAGAGAAAGAGAGAGAGAGAGAGAGAGAAAAAAAAGAGCACCAACTGCTCAGATGTGGCTTGTTCAAGGCAAGATAACAGGGAGTTTCAGCAGCCCTTAAGCCTACACGCCCCCCATTAAATGACGAAGCAGGATTGAGATGTAGATGTTCGCTATAAGCCCGGAGCTCTGAGCCCAAAGCCCTGAACTCAGATCCCAACCCCCAAACTCGACACCCCAAGGCCTGAACCCAAGCCCTAAACCGGGAGTAGGTCCCCAGAGAACCCAATACCTCTTAATTAAGGAATATACCTTAAACCATAATGTTAGGGCCCCTATAATTTAAGGCATCTTCCTTATTTAAGGGGTACTGGCTTCTCTGGGTCTTCAGAACTGAGGACTGGATGATGGAAGTCGGAGCTGATAGCTGCTCCCTTGAGACCTTTGATGGGCCAACCCTGCTGGTCTTGGCCAAAGACTGCCCTTCGGAGGAACTGGAGCACCTTAGGACAATTACTAGCTTGCAACTCGGCACTGATGGCAGCAGGTTTTCCTCGGGGTTGGAGTAGTTTCACCCTCCGTCAGCTATGCAGAACTCTAAACCCTAAACCAGTATATTATGCCCTCAGGATTGGTTATTCCATTTTTACTGTAACTGCTGCGAGCTCATTCGCGATCAGGTATTGCACCAGCCTGAATGTCGTTGAAGTTCCTGGTGACCGGCACGGCGTGCTGAAGCTAGGCTGCAGCAGCCATGCACCGCGGTGTGTAAGCACGTCTCATCGTACATGGCTGTATGATTAATCCTTAAAGAGAGTCCTCCCCTAAACTAGCTCTAAACCCAAACCCCTAAACCCGAAACCCAAACCCCTAAACCTTAAACCCTAACCCCTAAACCCCTAAACCCCTAAACCCTAAACCTTTAAGCCTTAAACCCTAAGCTCCTTTGCTGCGGATTTTTTGTGTAGCTATTTGTGGTTGGGGCTGCTCAGGAGTGTGGAGAACTCGCCCAACCTCGCGGCCGCTCATCTTGTAAACGACGGTTTAGGGTTCAGGGTTTA